TGTGCAGTTTGAAATTTTGAAAATAAACTTGCTTAATCGAAATACAACAACTTTGAAAAAAACAACTGTTTTTTTGGTTTTTATTGACAATGATTTATTTTGAAAAACTGCAAATGATCACACCAATTATGTGATCTATAACCAGATGTTTCTACTGGCAGAAAAGACAACAATAAGTGGAGGTTAATGGTGTGGCATGCTTTCAATGAGTTATCAAATGCACTTCTTATTTACTGTAAACATAGCAATTGCAACATTAAGTTTATTCAACATTGGCGCAATATCAGCAAAGTTTTGCAATGATGGAAAACACAACTACTGGTAGAAATATTGCTGCCATTATTTATCTGGAAGCCTTTTGTTTATCTTTCCAGTCCTGCTGGCCCTGTGGTTCAGTAGCTGGTAGCATTTTTTCCTTAAGAAAGCCACTATCAGATTTAAATGTTTGTATTCCATTGTTCTGGACAGAATATAATTTAAATGACTTTGACATAAATAATGGCTTAAGATGGTTTCATATGAACTTCTCTATGAAATTCTGTTATACCAGAAAGCAACTTTACAAAAACACAAACAGGCAATCTTTCTTTGACATCTGGAAGACATTTTTCTGCCATTTTCTGTTTGTATTCAAGCATCCCTCACATTAGCGACGTTAGAAGAAGGATCAACACATGTGAAAACTGCTGAGTGTTAAATTTCAGCTGATGATTTTTCTCTAAGGCAGCGATGAAAACAAAAATTCTGAAAAATGTCGACGAATCCCTGCCAAGTCCATTAACTAATGCCAAATCATTCTGCATTTCTCTTAAAAAGCAAAAAAAAGAAAAAGAAAAAAAAGCATAAAATGAAATTCAAAATGTTCCAGAAATGACGTGCAATTTATCTACAATGCCAGGACAACATGTTAGACCATTATAGTAAACTGCCTGATTCAACCCTCAGTAAATTATCGTACATGGTTCATCTCCAAATTTTGTGCCGTGAAAGAGGAACTCTAATAGATTCAAGAAGCAGAGATGACCATAAATATTAGTGGGGCCCCAAACCTTCAGACATGAACCCATTGATCCTCATTTGTAGTCCTGCAGCTGGAAGACTTTTTTTTATTTCCCATTTCTCATCACATTCACAGATTTTTTACTATTTTTTTACCCTTTTTTCATTTTGTTAAATATTCTGACCATAGAAAGGAACATTTTCTTGGACCATAACCTGATATTTCAGAGGACAGTCTATTTCTGAAAGTTTCTATCATCTTAAGACATCAGAATACAGCTTGTGGTCCAACATGTGTTTTCAACAATGGGCCCCGTACCAGATCTGACAAAGCTCAAGTGGATAATGGTGCTTTTAAAAATGCTACGAGAAAAGCAGGTTGAAAGGGAAGCTTCTGCGTATGTTAATAACATCAGACTCTCCATGCACATCAAATACACAAAGAAAAAAATCGGTTCATTATTTTGCTACAAAAAAAATCTAACACATGCTTGGATATTTTGTGCCTTCAAAGACAGAAATATAACATGTTCCTGCTAATGCATTTAGGCTCTCTGGATAAATAAATTTCCCTGCAGCTGCTGATGGTGAGCAGACATATTCATTCCAACCCGGGCTGAAGTCTGAAGGCGAATACATTTTGTTTGGTCATTGCTGCTGTGAAACTCAGTGATAAGAGAGAGAACATTAGTTTCAGGGAAGCTCCTGTTTTCCTGTATTGATTTTTCCCACAGGACACAAGAGATGAGAAGCCAGTCCTAATTGGAGTTTTTTAACAGAGGTTCTTGAATAGTTATTCATTTTCTGACACTTCACTGTCTATATTGTACAATTTCTATTCAGGTCATTTTTGCCCAGGAAGGAAAACATGTTTCGAATGATGCAGCTTCACATGACATTTTAAGGACAAAAGATGATACATTTCTGCAATTTTTCCCACAGAAAATCTCTGGAAGAATCACTTTTGATGAAGGTTTATTCTATATAATTGCAAAAGCTGAAACTCAATTGTTTTGATTTATTTAAGCATCAAGATGTAATTGTGTAAGACGACAATAAAATTGAAAAAAAGGATTAGTTGCAATACATAAATCAGTATAAAATCATCTTATGCTGGTGCTGTCCATCAAACAAAGAAAATGGGCTCTTTGGATGCCAGTTTCTCTGTTTGGGGAAAAACAGCTTGGTTACTTCTGGTCCATTAAAAATGTGTCATTAATTAATTCATCATTAATTTGTCATTAAAAATGGGATCAGCACTCGCAAGACGCACATTTGTTAATAATTGCATTTTGTTAAATGTCGTCAAATACTGCTTTAATAACTATTTAAAGCTGCATTTTACAGCTTTGTAAATAAATGTGACAATTCTCCATTTAGTAAAGTCAAACAGGATGTTCTCTACAGTGTTGATGTCAACAACTAGATTCAGAATCAACTATTATGTAAAAATAGTAAAACAGAGTTTGAAAACTCAAATGGAGAGAAAGCAAGTAGGATAAATAAGAAAATCAAAAAACACCTGGTGAGTGTGAGCATTGTTTTAACACCGACTTTTCTTCATTCAGGTATTATTGGCACGTCTTATTGGCAATTATTGCTGCCATTTTCTCTCTGCTTTGTTTTCCATAAAAGCTTTGCCTCGACTAGGAATTTTGCGTTTAGTCGCTTATCTTTCCAGGACATACTGCTAACCATGAACCTTGTGTATTTTTTGTTTTTCTTCTTTGGGTAAAGTGGGTTTCTGTGCATTTGTGTCTAGCTTTGTTGTCTTCTTAATGGAGGCTCATGCCAAACCTTTGTTGTCATTTACTTTGCAAAGTCGGTTCTTTCTTTGCTATATAATACAATTCCAGAAAAGTGCTTCTGTGTTTAGATGCCTCTTTTTCCTAGTTATAGGCAATGAGGCAGCTGTTGCTGCAAATAATGTTATGTACCCCCTGTGATTCTCAATTTCAGTGAAATTACTCCTAGTTGAGTGCTTCTGGGTTTAGCTGCTTGTCCTTCCCAGTCCTTGACTGACCTATTGCCTACACAAACTTTGTATAAAAGATGCTTGTAGCAGGTTTCTTTTTCTTAGTTTTCTTTCTTTCCTGTACTGGATCATTAATGTATAGATTAACCTTGTGTACTGTCTTTATTTCTCTTTTTCATATAAACTACTTCTGGCTCAGTGTGTCTCTATGTGACCATCTCTTTTCACTTAGCAATGCCAATGAATGTTCATACTTTTTCTACCACTACATTTTCTCTAAAGTTGGTAAAGAAGAAAGCTTATTGTAAATTCCTCCTCAAATTTTTGCCGTTTTCATTGCATTCGATTTCTTTTTGTTTGGTTTAATCCTTTAGCTTTCAAACTGATCCTAGAATATTCCAGTGAAATGCAAGAAGTATTAAAGCACTTGTGGATCTGATGTCATTAACAACCCAGTCTTTTTCAAATGCTAATCTTATTACAATTTCTAACCAGTTTATGAATGAAACAATCGTGCAATTGTGCAATCGCTGATAAACAGTCTCCGAGTGGGAAATGACAAACTCCCACTTAACGACAATATAAATGATTGCATGCGCTCTTCTTCGCTGCATTTCATACATTCAACCACCTGTGAGACTATTGGCTGCATGAAACTATAGAAGCATTCACGAGAAGAGATTATTTAACTAAAGACGACGAGGGAGGAAAACCGACAGTAATTAATATTCTTTATTTTCTATCTTAATGATTACAGAAATGAAACAATAAGAAGCTGTGAGGATGCTTTGCATATCAATTTTAGGCAGTTATTGCAGATAATGGAAATGACGTGCAGCCCTGATCAGCCATTGTGAAAGAGCAAGTGTCAATCTGAATTGGCAGCTCGCTCGAGTGGAACGGCTTTTGATAAAGCCTCCAGGAGTGAGGAGCTGATTGGATCTTCTGGAACACTGGTGACGGTTTGGCATCACTCCTGGTTGGTGTTTCTGAGGAAACCTTGAAATCCATTTAACTGTAACAGTATTACCATTCAGCTCAGATGAGGGGAGGACTGCAAGGGACTTTTTATAGGCACACAAGGCCATCAGCGTCATGGTGGTCAGTCAGAGAGAGACATATTTTAGAAGGACAATAGTCTCTTTTCACACTTGGACAGCCACAGGCGACAAAAAAGTCCAAATTCAATTACACAGATAGGATCTGCACGCACATATAGGGACACAAAACCTAAAATCGAACACTGTCAAATGACGGACACAGACGTATGCGAACAGAGCTGCAAGAGACAACATAAAAACACACAGAAACAGATAAAAGGACTTTAAACGCCTGCTACTCCTTCTACTCCCATAAAAAATCAATTTCCAACTTGGAACTTGTTGAGAAAAGACACTAATCGGCCTTCAGATTAGACCTTGTCTGTCCCTGATAAGACAAACAGCCACAACACATTTCCCATAAAGTTAGATTTGCCAGATTTGCCTTTGGGGTTCTGCTAGTGAGGTTGGCTCAGGGATGAGGTGGAGGAGGATGGGCAAAATATCTCTGAACAAGACGAATTCAGTGGTAAAGGAAGAGTATATTTTGTTATAAAATGGGCCGCTGTTCAATCATTACAAATCACAGGGTCCGGATGGCTCAGTGGTAGAAGTAACTGTCCCAGGTTTAATACCCGACCACGAGTCATTTACTGAATGTCCTTCCCTTCTCTTCCTGCCCTTATTCCTATGAAGCTGCTGATGAATAAAGGCCATTACTGCTAATAAAAACTAAATAAAAAAAAGAAAAAATAATTAACAATGATTACAAATCAAATCAAACAACTGAAGCCTGCAGCGATGGTTCAACACTGCAAAAACTGTGATTCTCAAGTTGAGAAGTTTAAGGATATTGGTGTGTTGTTCATGAGTGACGATACATTAATGGACCAGGGTTTTATCTGTTGGATCATCTTATCCCAAGCCACAACTGCAGGCCAGGAAACTACCAATTTATTGAGTAAAAGACAAATATCTAAACTTACATCAATAATGGTCCACTGTTCCACTACAATGGCATCATACGTTGGTGCAGCAGCGTTTGGCTCACCCTCGCTCGCCTCTTGGAAGATGAAGACGCTTTCCACTGTTTTAGGCAGTAGATCTGTGGAGAAAGTAAAAACAAAATCCAGAAGTTAGAACCATTATTTTGAGCAGTGCAAACTCATACGTTATGCAAGAAAACAATGTAGAACAAAAAAGGCATTGCTTTAAGGAGGTTAAATCAGAAATGGACATTAACTTCTTGATCAAAAATTTTTCTGATTATTGGGCTTGACAGCAACACAGAGACTAATTAAAGCTCAGGATCAAGGTGAATTCAGTAGTGAATAGAATGTAAAAGAAGCTCTGCTCTGTCCTGAGGATCAAGACTGAAAAACTCTTTTTCTGAAATGATGAAAAAGAGGCAGATTTAACTGGTAAAATACAGTCACAGACTGCATGAAGTCAGTCTATGCTGTATAGACAAAAAAAAAAAAAAAAAAAAAAAACAGTTTGTTATGCTCATATTCAACACCTGAAAAAAACTTTAAATATAGAAAGTCATGTTGAAAGAAGGTTTTGCTGCAAACCAGGTAGTAAGAAGCTTCTCTGGTCAGATTAGGTCAAAACTTAAATGAATCTAAGATGTAAAACTTCTTGAAGCTTAATTAATGTGGAACACTCTGGTTTTGGTGGTACCGCACTTTCTTGAATAAGAACAAGAAAACTGGTTAATGTGAAGATGGATGGAGTTTAATAAAGAACAAAACTGGAAGGAAACCAGTCAGGTGGGAAAAAACCCTTCCGACATGACATTGAATCTGAATGTACAAACACGACTACATATAGAAAAAAATGGATAACTAAACCTAAGACTGTGCAGCTATTAGCAATTGACATGATGGCTAATTACAGCTCGGGATCAAGGTGAACCCTGCAGGGGAAATGATTTAAAAGAAGCACGACTGTGCGTCTGAATGATCAGGACAGAAAAGCTATCCTTGGAGAAATTTAAGTGATATTAGCCACAGATCTAATGAAGCCAGTCTATAAGGGATAAACCTTTGTGATCCCTGGATTCTTCACCTTAAAAATGAGGTTAGCAACACAGACTTTAATGCTGAATTGTTTGCTGCTGACCAAATAGATTTTTCAAAGCGTCTCTGTTCTGTTGGACCCTAACAATCACAGGATTGGCGACCAGGACAGAAACACCACTGCGGCCCCTCAGAAACCTCTCTTGTTTTTCATTTGATGCACAGGCTCAGACGTGCACGCTCACACACAAACCACCGGCCGAGGTCCGGTCCTCCCAGCTGGCCTGAGTGCTTTCTCATTACAGCCACGCCATTTACACACTAATACAGTTTGCCAGAGCCCAGGAACCAACACGAGACACTCCACATTTCATTACCGAGCCTTAATAATAGAGGGATGAGAGGTGGCTAGAGAGGCTGAGAAGATAGGGAAGGAAGACAGAGGGAGAGGCAGAGCGCAGGATGACAGACTCTTTTATTTCCTTCCCTCCCTGAAAACCCATTTAGGACTTGTGCACGCTCAATTGAAGACATCTCTCAGACGTCCACTGGCTCCCTCAAACAGAGACATTGTCCGTTTTCACCTCCTCCTGCCCCCCGTGCTTCTTTTCTCTCCAACTTCTCCTTCCCTGTCTAAACTGTCAGCATTTGCTGCCTGGCAGATTTAGTAAAGGGACCGTTTTGGGAAGTGTCAGGTGATGAGGATTGGTGTTGGTTCCCTGCCAACCCAACAGGGATCACTCAGGTGAGATCAGCACACGGTTCCTGTCTCGCTGCTTAGCCTTGTCTCTGGTGATAATGCACACAGTCTCTGAGATGATGGGGGGAAAGAGAGGCAGGAGAAGATGGGTACCGGTTGCTGGGGGGCACACAGACTGTCAGGGGAATCCACCGGGTGCGTGCACGAATAAACATTATCTCGCGCCTATTGACTTGTGAGCTGAGCTGAGCAGCCGGCGGGCCGAGTGAGAATAAATTGTTTACACTTGCAAAAACCACCATGTGCTCTCGGTAAAACTGTTCTCCATCCCTGGTGAATCACATGCTCAAGGTCGCAGGGCGAGGTATGCAAATGTGTCGGAGCTGTTGGACTGGTTGGAAAGGCAGCAGCAGAGAGTGGACTGCTGTGGAGTGGCAAGGTGACAGCAGCTGACACATGGCATCAGAAATCAGCAGCCACAGATGTGCTGACACATGCAGACTCTTTGGATCGTAAAGGGCTAAATTTAGGTGGTGTTGGAAAAATCGTGAGAATGTGTGTGTCCCAAATATCTCACCAACATGTAAGCAGAATCTTTAAGCAGGTATTAAACATACCTCTCATTAAGCTCACATACGTATTATGATTGTTTTTATAGGTCTGACAAAATATTCTAATCCTAAATGTCACGTTTTCATTAGCATTAAGTGGAAAATCCTTATAACTGGCAGAAATAAAGGCTTGAAAATGTCAGATTGTGTGCAACTGATCTATGTGTTTTTCTTCATGGATTAAGAAAAACCATGAAGAATACTTTTAATGGTATTCTAATTTATTGAATATGACTGCATATTGATTTCAGGTCCACAGCCTCATGAAGTTAATCCACTAAATTTATGCACATTTTAGTGGCAAAAATCCTCTAAGTCCTTCATTTAAAATTGGTGAAATTCTTGTTTTTATTGATGTTGTCCCCCTCTTTTTAAATGTTTCTGTGTGTGCATGTGTGTGTGTGTGTGTGTGTGTGTGTGTACAGTCCGTTGCAAAAGTACTCAGACTTTTTAGCTTTTCACATTTCTCAAATTTCACCTGCAAACTGTGACACAATTTGGGTGGATTTTATGGGATTAGATCAGCACAAAGGAAGGAAGAAAGAAAAAAATGCACTCTTCACAGTTATTACAAATTGGACAATCTTGTTCTTGCGTCACATAAATTCCCATCAAAATACATAGTAGTTTATGATTGTAATGTGATAGAAGGTAAAGAGATGCAAGATGGATAAATACTTCTGCAAAGTGCTGCACAAAGTGTTGTAAATTCATATGTACCATATTATATTTAACATCCAATAATCTGCCCTCTCATTAATGCAGGAGCACTCAGACTAATAAATGTGTCATTATATTTTCTGATGAGTCAGGAATTTTAAGTTTGCTGCAGAGGGATGGCCGCCTGTAGGCGTACCTGTCAGATTAATACCTTTAAAAAGGGATTGCGACAGCCACCATCACTATTTTAAGATGTGATGAATAAAATATTTGAGCATATTATCAATAGAGTTTCCACAAATATCGGCTGCAGATCCTTTTGTACTTTGATGAGACAGATAAAATGTTATGTGAATAATCCACACCGCAATACTGATTAGTTATTTCCAGATAGTTTGGCACAGGTTAAGATAAACATAATGATTATAAACACCTAGAGTTTTGTGCAGATTATTTATTTTCTGTCCCCAGATGTTTTTTTGTTGTTGTTTTTTAAATATTTTATCCTTTGAATTCATCTTGTTACTTTCACATAGACAGTACAAAGCTTGAGTGTGAAACAAACTGCCTCAAGCTTTGATATCTTTTTCCATCTATTCCTCCTCTGAATAAGTAAACAATCAGATCTTGGTACAAACTGTTCAAGTTTTAATATGTTTTTTTTTTCAACTGCCTTCAATCTTTTAGGATTCTTGCTGTCTTTATCTTACAGTCTTTTTATCTATGTTTAGATATTCTTTTTCTATATCAAACAATTCTGTGATGCGAAGCATCTCAGTAAAGCTTTATGATGCACAAGAAATTTCTCATGAGAATAAGACACAAAATATTTGGTTTTATTAAAAAGAAAAGTAAGATTAATCTGATCTATAAAACCTTTTTTAATTTAGGAACTTATGACTTATGAATATACACAACCTATTTTCAATCACTTTAAATAGCAACAGACATCATAAGATGGATGCCAATTCCATCTACTCTGTCCACAAAATAAATTGTTAATGGTAGGTTTGCAAGGTTAAATCTCAACAAATCAGGAATTCTGTGCTGTGAACAGATGAAACCAAAGTTGGGATGTTGCATACAATAATGTCTTAAAGAAAACCTAATATATTATCTCAGCACCAACACTTCATAGCAAATTTCAAGAACGAAGATGGTGGTTTGTTTTGCAGCTACAGTGACCTCCTGCTTATTCTTGGTTCAGTGTTGATGGTTTCACCTATTCACAATTTTTTTTTATAGACCGTATCTTAAAAATTTCAATGCAACCAATCCAGGAATGCCATTCATTTTGATTGGTTGTTTCCCAAAAGTGGAATTGAGAACTAACAGATGTTAGTTTCAGTGCTAAGATGGTTTATACTGTGCGTATTAATGCATAAGGTATATTTGGTGTTTTAACTATTAAAATATGTAGTTCTAAGTGTTTTTAGAGGTCTTCAGCTTTTCATTGGCATTTGTCTGCTGGTCAACTGTAGTCCTAATTTTCAACAGAGTGTCTCAATAAGAAAGTCCAGAAATCAACTTCAGCAAAATGCCATAATGCTACTTTAAAGAAGCCTGCAGAAATGAAATGTCAATGAAAATCACAAGTCAAAATAACCAAGGGACAACGACATGAGACTTTGTCAGTCTCTTGCTTCACTGACAGAAAACAACTCAAGCGCTGATAAAGTCGGTGGTTCAACAAACTGCCAAATTATTGAGTGTGCTTTGTTTTTCCCATGAATATACCTGTGGATCAAGGTGTTACAATATGGAGTAAATACTGATTGGGTAAATGTTTTAGGTTCACTGTGTTCCTGCACACTGAGTTCCTCTTTTTTTTTTCTTCAGTCTAAAACCCGGTTGACCTTTGGCAAGCTGGAGAGTAACCCTGCCCCAAGCCGTCTCTGGTGACATGTTTTCAACAAGCGTGCCAGCCACTGCCTCAGACAGCTGGAGACCGGCCGCTGACAGCTTATCTATATTTCAAACAGGCTGAGTGGACATGCACAGCCAGGACAGTGCGAGGAAGAGGTGAGGGAGTGTGGACTGGATGTGACTCCTCCCTGTGGAGCCTGATGTTAGGCAGCTGGCAGGCGGTACCCTTGGGTTGTCAGGCAGATTT